GGAAACCACAGCTGAATTGGACAGGCAAGACAAACCCACATGAAATATTAACCAAACCCTTCCCGTTCCTGTGATCTGAGCACTGAATGAACCATAGGCAGTCACCTAAAAGCCAGACCAAGGGGTAGACATATGGGCTCTATCACCCTGCAAGGCTTCATGTCACTCTCATCTCCTGGGCAACTATAAATATGCTGATTTCCCAATCAATCTGAAGAAATGATGAGCAAAACATTTAATTCATGTGTGGAGAAAATATTTTAAAACCAAGTTTCACACATTTGAACATTCTCCCCACCCCTGCCACTGCCCCCAGGCTCAAGCAGGCCTCCTGCCTCAGCCTCCCAAAATGGACATTTGAACATTTTAAAGCTCCAATAAGTGAGTTTGCTGATTCAGTTTGGGTATAACATTCATCGGGCGTTTTAAACCTTACATGGTCCAAAGTAGAGATCTTTGAGGAAGAGATGAGGAAGGCAGCTTTGTGGACACAATGGCTTAAGCTCTAGGAACCTCTGAATGTCTCCATTAAAATGTAAATTCCCAGGAGAAAAGGTCTGATTATTCCAGGTTTCTTCCTAGATCAATTCTTAGTCCCTGATTGCTGAACAAAAATCAGGATATTAATCCAAGTCAGGGTAGGTTGAATCATCAAACAATGAAAACAGTTAAGAGTTGGGATCATTTTGGGGGATGGGTGGGGAGCGGTGGACAGGGTTGTTGGTCAAAATGCCACTGTTGAGACCAAAGAAATCTACCCAGGTGCCCCATATAGAAAGCAAGCTCTGAATGCAAGATACCTGAATCATTTTGCCAAGCTAAAGTCAAGAGGACAGGAGACACAGCAGGGCCAGGCTCACTTAATAAGATTCTGGAAGTTAGAGTAAGTAAGGCACCTCTTCAGGGTAAACTAGAACAAAATAGGATTCGGAAGGCAGATCACAAGTTAGGAATGTAAGATCTGGAGTTGTTATGTACCTGTCTGCATTTGTTAGTGATTCTTCCACCATTGGATCCTGCTCTGTAGATTAACGCCTCCCAGCCTCTCTGCTTCTATGGAAAATCTTAGCGACAAAACATTGGGGGCATCTGAGAAATATGAAAAGCTCGGTATTCAGTGTTTAGGAAGGATGGTAACCAAGGCAGCTCTGTAGACACAATGATTGAAGCATTTGGAACCTTCAGACACTGAGTCTCCATTAAAATGTTTAAATTCCCAGGATAAAAAAGTGTTTGATTATTCCAGGTTTCCTCCTAGACGAATCAGGTATTTCTTGGAGTGAAGGTGGTGGGGAGTGGGATGTCATGTAGCACAGTAGGGACACTGAGGGCCCATTGTATGCATCAAGGCCATTCTTGGATAAGGAAGAATTGTTACAGGCAGGAGAGTGACTTCAACCTGAGTTTACCACAATGTCCAAAATCTCATTGATTCATTCATCAAGACACACACCACAGCAGAGTGCTTCAGAATGCAAGCTCTGGAACCAAGTGCTTGGGATCCATTTCTGGCTCTGTCAGTTACTAACACTGCAGCAGAACTCCAGTCAAAGCAGTTAATTTGAGTAACTATCTCACAGTATTGTACTGAGGAGTAAAAGGCTTAATGCAAATAAGTGAGCATAGGATAGTACCTGGCCCATAATAAGCACGCGATACATTTTAGCCATGACTAGCATTCCTTTGAAAAATCTCAATGAGCACTGATTATGTGCCAGGTATGGTGTGAGTTTCTCCCCATCCTTTAGCCCAAACCTATTTTCCACTGAGGAGGATATTCTTTTCCTAGTCATTAATTAGAAATGTGGGCGTCATCTTAACTCCTCCCACCTCCTCACTGCCCATTTCTAAATACACACCCAACTGGGTTCCACCTATTAAACGTCTACCAGTTCCTTCCCTCTCTTCCAGTCTGCACTGTCACTGCCCGATTCAGGCTTTCTTTCATGTCCCATCTCCAATGTTATAACAGTCTCCACTGTGTCTCCCTAAGGTCAATGTCACTCTCCTCTAATCTAAGATTTACAAAATTCTAAGTTTTGCTATTGTTTTTTCAAACACATACCTGACAGTATCATTCACTTGTTCAAAGGCCTCAGTACTCAGTACTATAAACCCTCAGGTCCCACATGGCTTATGGGCCTTTGTGATCTGGCCCTTCCTGTCTCCGCAGCCCTTACTCTGTGCTGTCACTAAACAGGCTGGAGTTTCCCGAACGTCCAGTGCTGTTTCACTTCTCTATGTGTGCTGTTCCTTCTGCTGGGTCACCTATCCTTCCACCTGCCTGAAAATTCATCCTCCTATATGAAAGTTCATATTTCATCAACAAATGATGAAATAAATAAATCATCAATAAAATTTATGGATGAAATCAATATATTCATCACTTTCTTACACCTATCATTAGTCAAACCTGGGCCAAATTCAGGGAGTACAATGCTGAATAATATACTCCACTCTTTCTTCCTCATAGAAAAAGTAACCTTAGGGGTCTCAAAGGAGGAAGAAAGTTTGGAAATTAAGGCCAATTTGTCTCCAATTTAGCATTGTTACCTTTACTAGTTGGGTATCTTAGCAAACTGGGGAAACTTGGAAACCTTGATACTTGGGCATCAAGTCTAAAAGCCTCTCAGCAGATTTCAATTGCAACAGTAAACTGTGATACAGTATGTTTATGCATTTGGGCTCATATGGCTATAACGTGCTAAAAACATTGATTTGAACTGCAAAAACAATGATCAGAAACTTGCCTCAATATAGTGTTATCAATTTATAAACTATTAGGCAGGGCATGGTGGCTCACACCTGCAATCTCAGCGCTTTGGGAGGTCAAGGTGAGCAGCTCACCTGCAGTCAGGAGTTTGAGACCAGCTGGGCCAACAGGACAAAACCTTGACTCTACTAAAAATACAAAAACTAGCCGGTTGTTGTGGTGGGAGCTGGTAGTCCCAGCTACTTGGGAGGCTGAAGGACGAGAATTGCTTGAATGCGGGAGGTGGAGATTCCAGCAAGCCAAGATTGCGCCACTACACTCCAGCCTGGGCAACAGAGTGAGACTCTCTCAAAACAAAACAAAACAAAACAACCTATTAATTAGTCATACTATTTTCTAAAAGTCATGCTGTTAACTAAAGGTGACTGCAATTGTCCAGGGGTGATAATCAGCTGAGTTTAGTTTCACATGGTTATTAAATAGTATGAAATATGGTTCATTCAAATGCTTTAAAAACCATACCTTTCTAATTCATATTTTTTAAATCATGTATCAAATGAAGAATAGGCTGCCTACAAAGACAAGTAAATGAGTCAACTCAAAAGCTTCCTCGCTTTTCCAGCCATGACCCAGTCCATTCCAAATCCCAGATCTGCAGAAACATCAGTCATATTGGGACAGAAACTTCACTCTGGGCATAGATGTACCCTAGCACATATATAATGGATTTTCCAGTGTATTTAAATAAACTATTATTTAGTCACACTATTTCCTAAAAGTCACACTATGAACTAAAGGTGACTGTAATTATCTAGGGGTAGTAACTGGCTGTTTAATTTTTAAATACACTGGGACCCAGCTTACTGAGTTATATTGGGACAGAAACATCCATCTGGGTGTAGATTTACCCTAGCAGCTTGTCAGCAGGATCCTTTTATTCCTAGTTGCACAAGCAAGGTTCAGAGAAGAGGCTGGCACAGAGAAGGTGCCTGGTAACTGTTGTTTGGGGCTGAACTCAGCTCAACTCAGCTCCAGTAGAGATGGTGCTCCCTTTTCTATCATGTTGAGAGCCTGTGCAGACCTTGCCTAAGCGCTGCTACCCACTACAATGGGACCTGTGAGTTTCAACTTTTAAATTTCTCTGCTCCTGCTGGGACCTACCCACTTCAAAAATCGTCGTGTGGTTTTAGCATCAATTTAGTAAATACAAATTGTTAGAAATATTTTGATTTTAGAGAGTTACAGTCACCACATTAAATGATACATTTCTACCATGCAGTGAAAATGAGGACAAAATGGTCACTAGATACTGAAATTAATTTTCCCTTGGGCTTCTGTGGCAAAGCACATGATTTTAATGGTTATCTTAGATCAGCCCAGTGACCTTTACTGGCATGTTGTAACATCAGGCGCCTTAGGAAACTGAAAACTCAAATCATCACTACCCATACCACTGCCCCAGGTTAGCAGGGCAGGCATTTCACATCTAGAGCCTCATTTTAAATACAGACAGAGCAAGCCTCGCTTTTCAAAAAGTTCATTAACAAAGTCTCACAATTAAGAGAGCAGCCGTGTGACTCATTTTTGGATACCCGTAAATAACAACTCCTCCCTTTGCTGAGAAACGGCTGAAACAAGTGCGTGAGAACCACAGGAAGTAATACAGAGCTCAGCTGGTGTCAGAGGAGTCTAGAAAAAGGCAGAATTCCCTCTTGGACAGAGTGGTTCTCGCAGGATTGCCACTACCCTTCCTCTCCATTTTTCTAAAACAAAGTCTTATGTGGGCTTTGAAGGGACTGCTCCAAGGCTCTATCAATTTCTCCGTCTCTCCCGGCTTCTGGGTGACAGTGCCAAGTTCAAGTCAAGAGGTACCCATTCTGGTGTTTTTGACACAGTCACCCTAATAGGAAATGAAGAGGTGATAACAAAGAAACACTTCAGCCTTTCAACTTAAAGGTAGTCTTAGGTGGACGCTTTATAAAGGCAGCCTACCAACGGGTATCCCTAAAATAATTCCTATGAAGCGCTAAATTCTCAGTCCCTTGGCCTCTGAAATTAAAAGTAATTCAAAAAATATCATTCCGCTTTATATGAGAAACCCAGTGCTGTGTTCTCGAAGGTGCCCAGAGGCGGCGTGAGGCCCTGCACCAAAACCCACTAAGGCACCGCCGCGGATCCGGAGCCCAGACAGTGTCCCCGCCCCGGCCCGCCCACCTCCCCGCACTCTCCGCGCACCGGGAATAGGTAGAGAAATGGGGAGCTCAGGGACAGAAAAACAAACCAGTACCCGGAGCGAGAGTTCGAACCGAGAAGCCCCTATCCCGGCCGGGCGCTCGTCCCCCGTGGGCGCCGCGTTGGGGAAGGAAACCTGTTGCGCGACTCCCGGCGGCTCGGCTCCCGGCGCCTCCCGCGTCCCCTGCGGCAGAGGCTGGGCTCCTTCACTGCGGCCCGAGCTCCGCCCCGCCGCGGCCGCATCTGGGCGCCGCCGGCTCTGCCCTAGCCGCTTAGGAAGCGACCACAGCTGGGGACAAGGCCCCGCCCCGGGATGACAGCGCCGGGGCGCGGCGGCTCGCGGAGCGCAGGTTCCCGCCCCGCCCGGAGTCCCTGCGCTCGGGACCGCCCGGAGCCGGGGACGCGCTCCAGCACCTCCCGTACATCTCGGGGAGTTCCCGCGGGCGGAGCGGACCCTCGCGGGGAGTGGGAGGTTTGCAGCCAGAGGCACTTCCTCTGCTCATCCTCCGGTTCCTAGGGCAGGGAGCGCGGTGGACTTTCCCCGGGAATCCCCGCTGCGCTGATGACATTTGCCGTCCGGTGCGTTTCCGCGGCGAGGACGGTGGAAGCGGTCTCTGAGCGTGGGTGTGGCTGCCGAGGCTGCAGCAGGTCCTGCACCCCCTGGACCTTCCAGGAGGCGGGCAAGGAGCCTGCGGTCACACAGCGGCCGACCACCGCCTTCCCAGAACCCGGCGGCCAACCCCTCTCCAGTCGGCCTCAGGACCCTACGGGCTCATCATTCCCTGGATATTAGCTGAGCGTCCCCTTGTGTGCCCAGGGTACCACCGCTCTCAAAAATACTGCCAAGACCCCCCCTCCAGGTCCTGGCACTTTAATGGGGAGACATAAACAAAGTGTGGATTGTGCCAGGTGGCGGTAAGCACCTTGAAAAACAAAGGTGAGGCTGAAAAGTAAGTGAGATTCAAAAAGGGAAATCGGGCCAGGCGCGGTGACTCGCGCCCATAACCTAGCACTTTGGGAGGCTGAGGTGGGAGGATCGCTTGAGCCCAGGAGTTTGAGACCAGTCTGAACAATATGGTGAAAGCCCATCTCTACAAAAAATACAAAAATTAGCTGAGCATGGTGGCGCGCCTCTGTGGTCCCAGCTACTCGCGACGCTAAGGTGGGAGGATCACTTGAGCCCAGGAGGTCAAGCATGCAGTGAGCCTAGATCCTGCCACTGCACTTCAGCCTGGGCAAAAGAATGAGAAGGAAAAATAAAAATAAAAAACGAATCCTGCCTTGATGGGAGAATGTTTAAACACAGAACTACCTGAAAGAGCTCCCAGTTGCCAAAGATGGAACCATTTGAGCAACGAAGTAAACTAAACAAAGTCTTATTGGATTAAAAGCCAAAGTAAAAAATATCCATGAGTCTACACTCATATAAATAAATAATTGAATAAATAAATAAAAGGCAGAGAGGAGACAAATCTCCTACACAGAATAATTCCAAATAATTTATGTAGATCATCTACCGTAGGCAGTGCACAGTGACTTCCTCCAAAATAGTACAGTATGGAAAGGGGAAAAGAGTAGCTTTACAATGGAGAAAGCTGACAGACACTACGCCAGCCAGATGTTCTAAGTAAACGTCAACAATCATGAATTATATTGATGACATGTAGTTAATACAATGTGATGAATATGGCCCATTACCTCTGTGGTCTTCCTCCCCAAAACCCATAACCACTGTCTCATAATGAGAAAAATACCAAACTAATTTCAATAGTGGGACATCCTACAAAATACCTGACCATATTCCTCGAAGTTGTCAGGTTATCAAAAGTAAGAAAAGTACAGTCCAGACGTGGTGGTTCACACCTGTAATCCCAGCACTGTGGGAAGCTGAAGCGAGAGGATTGCTTAAGGCCAGGAGTTCAAGACCTGGTCTGGCCAACATAGCAAGACCCTGTCTCTACAAAAATTAAAAATAAAAATAAGGAAAGTCTGAAAAACTGCCACAGCCTAAAAGAAGCTAAGGAGGATGTGAAAACTAAATGTAATGTGGTATCCTGGATGAGATCCTGCGACAGAAAAAGGACTTGGGGAAAAGCTAAGGAAATCTAAGTAAAGTAAGGACTTTCATTAATAATAAGAATCAAGGTTGATTAGTCTTGAGGAATGTAATGTAAGATGCTAATCATGGAAAATCTGAAATAGAATTTATGGCAATTCTGTACTACCTTTGCAATTTTTCTGTAAGTCTAAAACTGTTCTAAAAGATGCAGTTTATTTGCTGGGCGAGGTGGCTCATGCCTGTAATCCCAGCACTTTGAGAGGCCGAGGCGAGTGGATCACGAGGTCAGGAGTACAAGACCAGCCTGGCCAACATGGTGAAACCCATCTCTACTGAAAATATAAAAAAATTACCTGAGCGTGGTAGTGGATGCCTGTAATCCCAGCTACTCAAAAGGCTGAGGCAGAGAATTGCTTGAACCCAGGAGGCAGAGGTTGCAGTGAGCCAAGATCACACTACTGCACTCCAGCCTGGGTGACAGAGCAAGACTCTCCATCTCAAAAAAAAAAAAAAAAAAGAAAAGAAAAAGGAAAAAAAATACAGTTTATTATGAAAGAAAGTAAGATAAGAGGGATGAGGTGTGTTATATTTTTTAAAATATGTATATTGCAAAGCCCTATAAGATAAGAGAATCACTGAGGGAGAAAACAATGCAGCTATTGGGATTAAGATCATTTCAAGCTTAGGGATCAGTGGATGTAAAGGCCCCAAGGCAGGAGCATGCTTGGCTTCTGGGAGAAATATCAGGGTGGGCAAAACAGAGTTCAGTAAGAGTGATGGCGGTGGGGCTAGGAGTGGGGAATAAAGCATGTATGGCATTGGTGGTCATGATAGTCTTTAAATTTTACATTGAAGGCTGGGCACAGTGGCTCATGCCTATAATCCCAGCACTTTGGGATACTGAGGTGGGCAGATCACAAGGACAGGAGTTTGAGACCAGCCTGGCCAACATACTGAAACCCCATCTCTACTAAAAATACAAACATTAGCTGGGTGTAGTGGTGCACGCCTGTATTCCCATCTACTCAGGAGGCTGAGGCAGGAGAATCACTTGAACCTGGGAGGCAGAGGTTGCAGTGAGCTGAGGATGCACCACTGCACTCCAGCCTGGTGACAGAGCGAGACTCTATCTCAGAAATTTTTTTTTACATTAATTGAGATAGGAAGACTGAAGAATGTTTAGCAGAGAAGCTAAATGATGTAGCTCATTGTTTTTTTTAGTCCACCATTTTGTTGAGGATAGATTAAAGGACAGATTAAAACAGGCCAACGAGTTAGGAAGCTGTGATGGTTAATTTGACGTGTCAAATTTTATTTGGTAAAACATTATCCTGGGTGTATCTGTGAGGGTGCTTGCTGATGACATTTTTAATTTTTTTTTTGAGGAAGGGTCTCTCTGTTGCCCTGGCTGCAATGCAGTGGCATGATCATGGCTGCCTGCAGCCTTGACCTCCCCTGCTCAAGTGATCCTCCTGCCTCAGCCCCCTGAGCAGCTGGGACTGCAGGCATGCACTACCACACTCAGCTCAAGTGATCCTCCCACCTTCGCCTCCCAAAGTTCTGGGTTAACAGGCATCAGCTACCATGCTCAGCTGAGATTACCCTTTGAATCCACGGGGAAGACTTCCTGAAAAAGTAAATTGTGGATGGGGAGTAAAGGGGAAGATTGCTGGGGATTAAGAGTAGCATTTTGGACTCCTTCAGTTTGGAGTTGTCAAGTTGTCACGAAGGCAGTTGGTTAGGTGAGTCTGGGATGGTGGGGTATATCTGGAGGTCTTTAGCATATAGATGGTGTGCAGGCAGAATGGGGATGTCTGAAGTCTGAGTCCTGGCGTGCTCCAAAGTACAGAGGTTAAGAAGATAAAGAATAAAAAAAAAAAAAGAAATTGAGAAGGTCTGATTTCTGAGATAGATAAACCAAGAGAGAACATGTTCCAGAAGCCAAATGAAAAGAATGTTGCAAGAAAGAACGATTTACTGTCAAATGCTGCTACAATGTATAAAATTAGGACTGAAAACTGAGCAATGGACTTGGCCACAGAGAGGTCAGTGGTGAACTTGGTAAGAAGAGTTTTAGTGGTGGGATGACCAAAGCCTGTGTTTGGGGTGACCCCAGAAAGACTAAAAATGGCAGATGAAGACAAAGAAATGGAATAGAACATGGAAGGAACCATATAGTCAAAGCAGTTTTTTTTTTTTTTAAAGTAGAAGGTACACGTGTTTGTATGCTCCCAGGCATGAACCAAATGGAAAGGAAAGAAGGATGATACAGGAGAGAAATGGGTTACGTGCTGGAGCAATGTTCTTGAGTAGATAGATGAGCAGGTGTGTGACGCAATGCACAAATGGAAATTTGGGGTTAAATAGAAGAAAGAGTTCACCCCTGGTAACAGGAGAGAACACCAAACTGAAGGTGCCCAAATGCCACTCTTAATCCCCAGCAATCTTCCCCCTCCCTCCCCATCTGCAATTTACTTTTTCAGGCAGTCTTCCTCATGGATTCAAATGTTAAGAGCTGAGCATGGTAGCTTGCGCCTATAAACCCAGCACTTTGCAAGGCCAAGGTAGGAGTATCACTTGAGCCCAGGAGTTGGAGACCAACTCCCTGGGCAACATAGGGAGATCTCACCTTTACTAAAAATCAAAGTATTAGCTGGGTTTGATGGTACATGCCTCTTGTCTTAGCTACTCGGAAAGTATGGCAGAGATGCTGGTAAATGTGGAAGGAAGAATTTATTTTATTCATGAAATACAAAGCAAGGTCATCTGCTAAGAGTGAGGAGTGTGGAGGAAGTTTGGGGAGAGAGGAGAAAGTATGAAAGTCATCTAGAACAGTGAGAAAGTCAATAGACTTGGAAAATATAGTTGGATTTTTGGATAGCAGGGAGAGCCCATTTGAGGTCAGAGCTCATGAATATAAAGCGAGGCCAGTAGGTGTAGCGGTATGTTCTTGCTGGCTTCATTTACTTGCTTGGGTACAGATAAAACTAGGCAGAGGGTTAGATGTAAGCAAAGTTTGGAGTTGCCAGGTAACTATGAAGGAAGAGAGAACAACAAGGGGGTTAGGGGTATATGCAAGAGAATGATGATAGTGAACGACCATGGCATCTAAGCCAGGCAAGGGGAGAAGAGAGGACGTGAATGATAGTGTTGAGGTGAAAAGAAAAGGTGTTAGGGGGTCAATGGATTGGAATTTCCAGGGGATCAAGAAATGGTCACATTTAGGGGTTAGAGAGATTCAGTGGAAAAATACTGCCATAGTTGGGACCAGGTGCCATGGCTCATGCCTGTAATCCCAGAACTTTGGGAGGCCAAGGTGGGTGGATCACCTGAGGTCAAGCGTTCAAGACCAGTCTGACCAACATGGCAAAAACCCTTGTCTCCACTAAAAATACAAAAATTCACTGGGTGTGGTGGCAGGTGCCTGTAATCCCAGCTACTTGGGAGGCTGAGGCAGGAAAATCACTTGAACCCAGGAGGTGGAGGTTGCAGTGAGCCAAGACTGCATCACTGTACTCTAGTCTGGGCCACAGAAGGAGACTCCTTCTCAAAAAAATAAGCAAGATGGATATCAGAGTGGGATGTTTGAGACTGGGATTTTGATGGGATGCAGATGTTGATGACAGATTGGTCAGAGCATGACCAATCTGAATTCTCTTCCACAATTGATCTGCCCACACCCAGCTGAATCCCCATGTTATTCTTGTTTTATAAATTTCTCTGGAGACCTTGGCTCTCCCCTCCAGTCTGGAGTTTTTCAGAGATGATGACCGATGAGGTCCTTAGGGTGAGGCTCAGATAAAGCAGAGCCAGGCACTGGGAGGGGGGTGCGGCTGTTGCATGGAGATCTGTCAGCCACGGCCATTATCCTGCACGCTATTGCCATTCCTAATTACAGAGCTCATAACACCACTGAATGCCAGGGTTGGAAGGTCCTCTGTGGCAGCCACCCTTCTGAGGTGCAACTCCTCCACGGCCCTCAGTCAAATGGTCATTCCAAATCCCTGCAGCATGTAATGACCACCAGCTACCATTTATCTTCTTCATACTAGTTTGATAATTCTTTGACAAGAGAGAACATGTCTAAACTTCTTGTATTGTTGTGATAAAATGCTTACAACATAGAATTTACCATTAGAACCATTGTAAAGTGTACGGTGGCTTTAAATACAGATGCATTCACGCCGTGGTGTAACCATCACCACCATCCCGAACGTTTTTATCTTCCCAACTAAAACTTTGCACCCACTAAACACTAACTCCCTGGTCTCTCTCCCACTCACCTTTAGCAACCACCATTCTACTTTTTTTTCTTTACTAACATCTCTCTAACTCAGTCCTTGATAACCACCATTCTCCTTCTACTTCTATGAGTTCAATGTGTCGTAATGTGGTATTTGTTTTTCTGGGCCTGGCTTATTTAGCTTAACATAATGTCCTCCAGATTCATTCACGTTGTCACGATGACAGGATTTCCTTCTTTTGTGAGGCTGAAAGTACCCCATTGTGTAAATATACCACATCTCTTTATTCATTCAGCCACTATTGAACCCCTATATTTTTTCTGTATCTTGGCTATTGTGAAATGCTGCAGTGAACATGGACATGCAGAAATCTCATCACACTGATTTCATTTCCTTTGGATATATACCCAGTAACGAAATCGCTAGATTCCACCACTTTACTTTCTGCCTCAATGAATTTGACTGCTCTAAGTACCTCATATAAGTGGAATCATATGATATTTCTCCTTCTGTGACTGGCATATTTCACTTGGCATTATGTCTTTCATATTTCTCCATGCCGTATGTAGCATGTGTCACAATTTCCTTCCTTTTCAAGGTTGAGTAATATCTCATTGTATGTATGGATCAGATTTTGTTTATCCATTCACCTGTCAATTGTAATTAATGCTGCTATGAATATAAGTGTACAAATATCTCTTTGAGTCTCTACTTTCATTTTTGGGGAGCGTATACCCAGAAATGGAATTGCTGGGTCATATGGTAATTCTATATTTAATTTTTTATAAATTTATCATACCATTTTCCACAACAGCTGTGCCATTTTACATTTATATTTGCAAAAGAGTTCCAATGTCTCCACCTCCTTGCCAACACTTACTTTTCTTAGGCTATCTTTGATTTCTATTTCATGCCCTGCAGGACACATGATATTGTCTGAGTAAATTACTGACCCTGTTGTTAACACTGTCAAAAAGGGAAATGAGGTTAAATGAAGCAACTTGTGCTCAGCGAGTCTCCGCTGAGTCTCTGAACATTTTGTTCTAGATTTTCACTGTACTTTATAGCCACTTGTGGCTAATTCAATCTCAATTAATTAAAATTAAATAAAATTTAAAATTCAGTTCCTCAGCCACATTAGCAACATTTCAAGTACTTCATAGCCACCATAACTAGTGTCTACTCTTTTGGAAAGTACAGAATGGAACATATCCATTATTGCAGGCAGTTATTAGTATTTGACTTCTATATTGAACAGCACTTTCTAGATTCTGGTAGCACCTCTGCCTCATTGTACAAATAACATTTGGATAAGCTTTTCCAGAACTGGCCAGCTTTAAATTTAAGATCTTGCTTTCAGGAGAGAGAAAATATGCTGCTAAAAAGCCTGTGGCTTTTTTGTACCCCAACGGCTGCTCTGTGAACTCTCTAATTTTCATGATTGAATATTGTATTTGAACACTCCGTGGTCATGTGTTTCTGTTGCTCTTTATTACCTCTATGAATGCAGACTTACAAAACTGGTTAAAGCTTTGTCTATATCATTCAACTCACATACTAAACCACAAGTTTCAGGAAGGCAGGAATTATGTCTGTTTCACTTACTCCTTTTTCCCTAAAGCCTAGCACAATACCTAGCACATTAGAAACACTCAATAAGTATTTGTTGAAAGATGAGTTAATGAATGACCAAAGTAAGCACTGAGATAAGGGCCCTGATATAGCCTATTAGAGGGAGGCACCCAGACATAACAAGCCCAAGGAATATCTCTCTAGCTCTCATATGTTAGTAGTTAGAAAAGATGTTTTTTCTTACAGAGCATAGATTTTAAGCTTGGGCCTTTTCCCCATTATTTAAAAAATAGCTTAAAATTTAATTCCTATAAGGATCTTGTCTAATGCATGTTTTTAAAACTACTACTCTGATTTGTAAACACCTGTTACCATCAGTGAATATAATAATGAGAACAAATTCTACATTTATATAGCATCAGCATGTGTGCAGAGATTTCCTTTTGCCCCTCCAGATCACTTTCCACCTCCCTCCCACCTGTTCTCTGACTTGGGAGTCCGATCTGAATGGATTATTCTGACAGCTGCCTGTGCCCCATGGGTTTCCTGCCAGTAGGAAAGCTCTGGCAGGAGGGCAGGGGCGGGGAATGAGCAGGAAATATTTTCCAAATAGATGTATGTGCCCCTCAACAAAAGGTCCCAGTTCCTCTAAGGTGGGCTCCTCTACATGTCTCTCTCTCTCCCCGGTTTAGGATTCCTTTCCCTATTCATGATTCTCAGTCACAGGTTCCTTTACAGCTGCCCTCCACCCTGTCCATATCTTTATAATAGACCACTGATTTAAAACCTATGCTTGAATTATCCTAATTTGAATATGCTATTGGTTTCCCTTTGGGACTTTAACTAATACAGTATCCTTAATTAGTAGCAAAAGCATAGTCTCCAAATCCCATCTCTAAAAATTTTATAACTACAATCCTGACAGAAATGCTCCCTAGTGATATTATCATATCATTACTTCAATTCACTTTTTGCTTTATGAAGAAACTAGACTGTACATCACATAAATTGTTCTCCAGTACACGCAGACTAGAAATATATTACCAGATTCACAGGCAAATCTTTTTGCATATAGCTTCTCTACATAAAATGTAATTTATGGAAACATATAAACGAGAAACCTTTTGTGTTTTAAATTGGTACATAATATTTTACATATTTATGAGATACATGTGATATTTAGTTGCATGCATAGAATGTGTAAGAATCAAGTCCAGGTATTTGGGGTATCCTTCACCTTGAGTATTTATCACATGTTAGGAACATTTCACGTTCCCTGTTTTAACTAATTTGAAATATACACTACATTGTTGCTAACTGTAGCGTATACTTAGCAACTACAGAATAGTAAAACTGCTATAGAACATTAGAACTTACTTCTTTTATCCAACTGTGTTTTTAGTACCTTTGACCAGACGCTCTTCATTGCCTTTCCACTCACACAACCTTCCCAGCATCTGGTATCTACCATATTACTGTCTACCTTGATGAAATTAACTTTTAAGCTCCCATGAATAAGAACTTGTGAAATTTGTCTGTGTCTGGCTTATTGTACTTCGCATAGTAACCTTCAGTTCCATCCAGTTTCTTGCAAATGACATGGTTTCATTCTTTTTATGGCTGAATAGATTCCACTGTGTATATATACCACATTTTCTTTATTCCATACATGAGAATTTACAAAGTAAAATCAGGTTAATAGTTAAAGTTTTAAATATTTCAATATATAATAAGTTAAAGTTTTAGATATTTCAGTATATAATAAGCATATCTTAAATTACTTCTAGATATGTGATGAAATCTGCAAAAGTTCCAGTGTTGCAAACAAGTCATCATTATTCATATACCAGAGAACACAGTTTCTGTTTCTGTCCCTTGAAGCTTGTTTGAAAAGTGCAATTTTTAGCAAACACCAGATCATTAAAAAATATAAACCTAATAATGCTGATGCCAATATCAAAGATCACCAATACTATTGTTTGGTTACAATGTGCCAAGCACTGTGTTCACATTGTCATATGTTATTTAATTCTCATCACAAATTTATAAGATGTGCACAACTCAACCCTATTTAAAAGAAAGGAATAGACTGAACCCGATAGCCTCCTGTCCACTGTCCAGGCAACAGCAAGCAGAAAACCTCAGATTCAAATACTAGTGTCCAACCCACAAAAATTCGGGTTCTTCACCATTCATAATTCAAGAACAATGCTAGAGACCAGAGAAAAGGCCAGGTGCTGTGGCTCTTGCCTGGAATCCCAGCACTTTGGAAGGCAAAAACAAGTAGATTGCTTGAGCCCAGAAATTCAAAGCTAGCTTAGGCAACATGGCAAACACCCATTTCTATAAAAAATACGAAGAAATTAGCCAGGTGCTATGGCTGGTTCCTGTAGTCCCAGCTACTTGGAAGGCTGAGGTGGGAGAATCACCTAAGCCCAGTAAGTCGAGGCTGCACTGAGCCATTATTGCACCACTGCAATCCAGCCTGGGCAATGGAATGAGACCTTGTCTCAAAAAACAAAAACAAAAACAAAAAAACCTGAAAATAATGACTTTCCAAAGCAAATGATTTTTTAATCCTATTATTAAACAGGACTTTTTAAAATCCTGTTATTTAGTATTTTTAGAAAAAATACTAAAAAGAGAAAAGAATGCAACAGATAACTCTCATAGAAAAGCAAATTTCTTGTTATTTACTAAGATTCTTTCTTTTTCCAAGCATGATACACCAATAGGGGTAGAAAACACGTGGTGAAATACTGCATTGTTTTCGTATTTGTTAAATTATGTTCTTGCCTACAATGCCTGAATTGACACTATTGCATATTTATTTTAATCCAAATTTCAAGTAAAAACTTTCCTTTGATGTATTTACTTACTTGTAAGAGGCCTGAAGTTTGATATGTACTGGTTGCTCTAATGTATACAAATAGAACAAAAGTGCTCTGTGAAGGGGAATGGGTTTTTAAAAAAATCTGATCTAGAGATAATGTAGTTGATCCACTTAATAGCTCTTGATGGAAACCAATTTTTCTGCAACTGTGATTTTGCATAACAAGTTGCAAAAGTATTTTAAGATGAGACTGTTACTCAATACTCATTTCTGGTAAACTCCTTTTTGCACCATTGCCTTCGTCTGTAGAACAGATAAAAGTGAAACAGAAAAGCAAAACCAGAATGTAACACATAAGCCATGCCTTTCACGGATAATAGTTTAGCCACAAGCCTTGAAATATTGGTTTTGAATGTGAATAATTCACTTTCAACAAGTATAATTTTCACAAATACAGTAAACATTTGTACAGCCATGTTCTGCTCATTTAGATGAATTTGTGCCATGTATTTAGAAACTCTATACTTCCACACCAAAGAGCCTTACTTTGGGGCTGAGGTCTGGCTTTCTTCTCTTCTTCCTCCCCTTCATCCATCTCATCCCCTTGCGGCTGCTCCATGTCTTTGTCTTACTTTTCCCTTTGGTACTTTTCAGATGGACTCATTCCTCCTTCACGGATGGTTTATAGTTTCTGTGAGTTCACGGACCACAGCCTGCTAGCAACCTTCCATGACCCTGAAGAAAATTTGAAAGAACAATACTGGCACCACAAAAAAACAAGCGTGGTTTCTTTATTTTATTTATTTATTATTATTATTTTTGAGACTGAGTTTCGCTTTTGTTGCCCAGGCTGGAATGCAATGGCTGTGATCTTGACCTCATCGCAACCTCTTCAAGTGATTCTCTTGCCTCAGCCTCCCGAGTAGCTGGGATTGCAGGCATGCGCCATCACGCCCAGCTAGTTTTGTATTTTTAGTAGAGATGGGGTTTCTCCATGTTGGTCAGGATGGTCTTGAACTGCCAACCTCAGGTGATCCATCTGCCTTGGCCTCCCAAAGTTCAGGGATTACAGGTGTGAACCACTACACCTGGCCAACAAGCATGTTTCAAATGATGAATTGGGCTGGGTGCAGTGGTTCACGCCTGTAATCCCAGCACTTTGGGAGGCCAAGGCAGGCAGATCACTTGAAGTCAGGATTTCAAGATCAGCCTGGCCAACACAGCAAAACCCCATCTCTACTAAAAATACAAAAATTAACTGGGTGTGGTGGTGCATGCCTGTAGTCCCAGCTACTCTGGGGGCTGAGACAGAATTGCTGGAACCCAGGAGGCTGAGGTTGCAGTTGGCCAAGATTGTGCCACTGCACTCTATTCTGGGTGACAGAGAGAGTCTTTCTCTAAACCAAAAGCGACAGAGTAAACAGGTTGAAGTCTGAGCAGTGAACTCACCGATTTGAAGGACAGTCTTTCCTAGAGATATGTGCCTCTGTGGATAATGATCTTGCTGAGACCTTGCAGAAGCTGACAGTGGTCCTCTCAGTCCTTCGCTCCTCTCCTTGTGTGCCCCGAGGATGAGGAGTAATCTTTGGTAGGGTCTAACATGGCCTTGCATCACTCAGGGTGTTGAAAATGGGCTGCTCTAGCTGATTTCTTTAAACCCTATTTTTCTATACAGGTTGGTATGAAGAAAGGTGAATTATGAAACAGGAACTTTTGCCACAACTCTATTCCTAGTCACAAAGAAGTATTTACAAAAGTCTCCATGCAAACCGGAATTCATAACTGATTACAATACAAATGTGGGTGCTGGACACAATTTATTCACACCTATTTCTTCCAAAGACCTGGCACAGCATCTCTGCAACTTAATGGGTGGTCCGCTTTACAAGAAAAAAATATACGGCACCCAGTGTTGACAAATTATTTCTACCACAGTGTTTCTTGAATGTAATATAAACACAGTATTACTTAAACATAAACAAGCTATAAATTCCTTATGGCTATAGACACTTTTAAAATCAATAAAATGCAAACCAATAAAAGCCAAACCAATCTGCACATTAAAAACATAAAGTTAATAATATTCAAATAGACTGGGCACAGTGGCTTATGCCTATAATCCTAACACTTTGGGAGGCTGAGATGAGTCCAGGAGTTTGAGGCCAGCTTGGGCAACATAGCAAGACTCTGTTTCTGCAAAAAAAAGCAAAAATTAATCAGGTGTGACGGTGCAAGCCTGTAGTGTAGTCTCAGCTACTCGGGATGCTGAGGTGGTAGGATCACCTGAGCCCAGGGAGGTCAAGGCTGTGGTGATTGCACCACCAAACTCCAGCCTGAACAACAGAGTGAGACCCATCTCAAAATAATAATAAAAATAATAAAAACAGCATTGATTTAACATTGTTTTGATGAAACAAAACTATGAAAGTCTATTCTAAAAGTAGAAATGGTCATTTGGGTGTTTCGTATTTCACTTGTTAGCTATGTGATTCTTTTTATTTTGAATCTATTTGACATACATTTGAATACTATTATTTGAATATAACAGACATGCATTTGAGGATCTCTCATCATCCTTGTTCTGATTTTCTCTTTTAAACTATACATTTGTCCCAAATGGTTCCTTAATGAGTCATCAATCTAAAGTGCTCACAAAACTAAAAAGCCAAAATATGAGTTTAATTTAACAAAAATATTTATGATCATATTTAGTGCTAATGAATTGGAATATTGTGTTTGATGTATCTCTTTTGAAACATAAATGTGGTGGTGACTCAGGAGGTACAGGGGCTTCATGTTAGGGATGCTTGTGCTACTAAAAGCTGTATGATGACTCAGCTGTCGTATCACTTGCCTTCAGCACTGCAGAGCACCAAGACGTCACCTGAGCTTTACTTGGAGCCAGGCTTTGATCCTACAAAAAAGGTACCTGTTAAATATAAAGACACAGGTAAAGTCATCAGAAGAGATTCAGCATGTTAACGCGAATAAAAAAAAGGCTAGAGTGGCTCCATTAACATCAAAGAACATTCGAAAGCAAATTAAAAATATCACTAGAGATAAAAAAGGTCATTTCATGATAATGTGGTCAATTAATCAGAAAGAGATAACAATCCTAAAAGCTTATGGATCTAATAATAGCTTCAAAATACGTAAATTAATAAATTAATGAAATTCTGATCTATTTAAATTGTTATTATTTTAAGTGTTTATGATCATTAGTTATAATTTGTATTCTTCCTTTGTTTTAACTGACAGACTTTTGGGGAGGTCAGTTTTTGATTTATAAGGAAAATTAAGCAGAAAGTACAGAGAATTACCACATCAACCCTTATCTTCTCCCATCTACATGAAGGGGTAGATGAGAAAACTTCTGTGTCTTAATCTTTGTTGAACATGAAAAGATATTTTATAATTATTATTATTATAAATGGTACACTGTATCCAGATCCATCTCATAAGCAAGGACACACAAAGACTTAAAACAAAGCTTTGGTGGAAGACTTACCAATCAAATGGAGAGCAAAAAAAAAAAAAAAAAAAACAAAAAAAAACAGGAGTTGTAACTTTCGTCTCTGACAAAATAGACTTTAATAGTAACAAAGGCTAAAAGAAACAAAGAAGGACATTATATAATGGTAAAAGGATCAATATAACAATAGGAGTCAATAATCATAAATATATAGGCACCCAATATAGGAACACCCAGATACATAAGACAAGTTCTCAATGACTTATAAAGAGACTTGGATTCCCGCACAATAATAGCGGGAGACTTTGACACCACATTGTTAATAGTCGACAGATCAACGAGATAGAAAATTAACAGGGACATTTATGATTTGATCTCACACCTGCAACAAGTAAATTCAGTGAATATCTATAGAATTCTTCACCCCAGGTCCACAGAACAAACATTTTTCTCAATATCACATTACACCTATTTTGAAAGTGACCACATAATTGGAAGTAAATCATTCGTCAGCATTTGCATAGCATGTCACAGACTTAAATGAAATATTGGTTGGATGTTTGTTTGTTATTTTCTTCCCTTATTCCTTCCTGTCTCCGCTGATAAGTACAATTATCGGCATAAAAGAGGTTTTTAATACCTATTTTTAGATTGCATTCCAGCCTGGGCAATAGAGCAAGATTCCTGTTCTCTCTCCCCCTTTCTCCTTCTCTTTTTTTTCTAAAAAAAACCCAAAAAACAAAAAACAAACAAAAAAAAAACGGTGGTAAAACGCACATAATATGAAATGCACCATCTTAGCCATTTTTAAGTATACAGTTCTGTGGCATTAATCATTGTGCAGTTATCACCATCTCCAGAACTTGTCATCCTCCCCAACCAAAACTTTATACCCATTGAACACTAAGTCCACATTTCCTCCCCGAGCCCCTGGTAATCACGGTTCTGCTTTCTGTCTCTATGATTTTGACTACTCTAGGTACCTCATATAAATGAAATCACACACTGTCTTTTGGTAACGTCTGAATCATTCAGTCTAGAGGAACCCTCAGGGCTTCAGCATGAATCTTACATATGCTGCTGGCCCCCAGTTCCACAGAGCAGTTTGGGAAGAGGGCATGGCTCCCTCTCCTCACCCCAGTGTGAGCTGTGAGTTCTCCTGTATCTTAAACTTCTGTTAAATTACATGCATAAAGCCACATCTCTCGAGGCCAAAATTAATGATCAGGAACAGGACAGGTTGAAAGTCATGATGAGGAACTATTTTCTTAACTGTTTCCTAATTATCAATGTGCCTTCCCTTTTCTTGGTGTCTGTAAATCATGTGAATGTGCTGAGTGAATATTTTGTTTTTTTTCTTGCTCCTCTTTGGGGCTGCAGCACCCATGAGTGATCCTTTCCTTCACATTACCCAAAGGGTCCCAGAGCTGGCCCTTCTAACCACGACTTAGTGAAATCTCATTGAGGGCTTTTGTTCTCCTCATCTTCAGGGAAGGTAGGAAGTGGAAAATGATTAAAAGATACTTAGCACAAGACTCGGCACACAGATAAAAAAAATTATTATTTTATGATATAACCTATTAGTGAATATTACAGATTTCATTTTCTCAAATGGCAACTGAAGCAAAGGATAACATTTCAGCCTTTGCATTCATTCGTTTCCCCTTTTAATCACATCTTGTTTTAGTGTGGTACATTTGTTATAATTGATGAGCCGATGTTGGTACATTCTTATTAACTAAAACCCTTAGTTTACATTAGGGCTTACTCTTTGTGTCATGTATTCTATTGAGTTTGTATATGCCTATGCATGTGATTTTTCTCTAATTGGGTTTTGACAAATGTATAATGACTAGTATAGTAATGTGTAATCCACTCATATACAGTATGATGCCGAATAGTTTCACTATCCTAAAATCTTCCCGATGGGTTACTGTATCCGTAATTTTGTCTTTTCTGGAATGTCATATAGTCAGAATCATATAGTACGTAGCTTTTTCCAACAGACATCCTTCACTTAACATGTTTTTAAGGTTCCCCAATATTTTTTTGTGACTCGATGGCTGATTTCTTTTATTCATTGAATATATTTCATTGTATGGCTGTTCCACAATTTGTTTATACATTCACCTACTAAAGGACGTCTTGGTTGCTTCCAAGTTTTAGCAATCATGAGTAAATTTGCCAAAAAATCGTGTGCAGGTTTTCGTGTGAACGTAAGCTTTCAACTCATTCAGGTAGATACCTAGGATCATACCTTGATAAGTTTCATTGTGTAAGAAACTGCCAAACCTTCGTTCAAAATGGCTGTGCCATCTTGCATCGCCATCAGCAATGAGTGAGAGTTCTTGTTGCTCCACATCCTTGCCAGCCTTTGGTGTCATCAGTGTAAGGGTTCAAATGAGGCAACTGAGGCCAGTTATTGAAATAAAGAAATTTAATCGGCTCCTGGGCGAGGTTCTATGGTCCCGGTGAAAGGGGCCAGAGAAGTCTGCTTGACTTCTCGCGGGTGTTGGGTTTTATAGGGAGTGAAGGCATTTGATTGGCTGTGGAGAAACAGGACGTGGATGAGGTAAGCTGCTATTGGTAGGTAGGCGGGATTTCCGGTGAGTGGGCTGTGCTATTGGGCAGGTTTTGGCGGGGCTTCTTTTAAATTTTGGCGTAGTTTTCCAACGGCGGGCTAGGTGCCGAGTGCAGAGCTTGATGTCGAGAGTGCTGATGTAGTTTTCAGGCACGGGGAGGGATGGGCGTGTCCGAGCTCCCAGTGAGGCAACTGGCCTTACAATCACTATTTTGGATTTTAGTCATTCTTACAGGTGTATAGTGGTCTTATTGTTACTTTAATTTTTTAAAATTAATAGATAATGTTAACCTATTATATGATATTTTGAGTCTTTTACATTTATTAGAATTTGGATTTTTTCAAAAGTAAATTGAAAGTGAGTTTTGAATATCATTACTATATATTTTTTAATTCTTTATTATGTCAACAGAACAGAACTGTGTAAAATCTTATTATAACAACATAATAGTTTGTTAAATGAATGTGAGAAAAAACAAGTCACATGGACTAAATGGGCCATAATGTATGAATTGCATATATTTTTTTCTTATTCATCAAACATTATGGCCCATTAACACTCAAAACGTGCTCAGCAATAATTAAATTTAGTCATTTAAAAATATTTTTCCACTTTTTAGTCACATATTTCTCAGTTGCATCATTGTGAGATTATATTTGCCAAGGTAGAGTGAAGAGTATTTTTAAGTTTCTTAGCTTGATTTATAATGTTAAAATATTCATATATGTGGAAGATTGGTCTCTTTTTGGACTCCTGCCTTGGAATAGTCCATTTGATAGGGGCAGTTCACAGTTTTTGAGAGTCATGAGAGGCTATGGATATTCTCAGTAGAATTAGACAAAGTTCTGTGGACACTTCAGGAATCCACAGACTCCCTAACACTCATCCATAGACCCAAGGGATCCATTCACTGTAGATGGACAGTCCCTGCTGTACAATTCCCCACGTGTTAGTGCCATTTTAACTTCCCTAATGCACGATCCTGAGATTGCCATCCTCCCTCCTCTTCCTTCAGACTCTGCCAGGGGCTTCCATTTTTTTATCCAATATTTTTTTCATCCTACCATTTGCAGTATTCAGCAATCTCAACTCAACTGACCTGAACAGACTTATCTCCCTGTATCCCTTCATACAGCCCAAGACTAAGCTTTGACTAATTGGGCCACATGCTGTTTGCTGGATATATGTCTGGGCTTTCCAATTTCTCTGACTTTATTTACATAATTTTCTTCTTGAAATTTCCTTTTCTTTATTCTGCTGATTGAAATTCTACCATTATTCACAGCTTCTTCTTGTAACCTTTCCTTCCTACCCCCACCCACCCTAAAACAATCTTTTCTTTTTCTGACCTCTCAGAACACCTGTTTTTATATCCATGCTTTCACCTTTCCTTCCTTCCTGCCTTCCTTCCCTCCCTCCCTCCCTTTCTTCCTCCATTTATTATTGAGGTATTCAAATAAATTTTGCTGTGTGTGCACAGTACTAGGCACTCTACTGGAATAAAATGTTCCTCTTCTGCAAGAGGTTCACAGATTCATAGGAGCACATTCACATAGGACCTGAAAAAGACCTTGCTGGAGGGCAGTAAGCTGCAGAGGTTGGGTCAGACTGCCTAGGCCCTGAGCCTGGCTCTGCCAATGCTAGCCGGGTGACCGGGGCCAATGCTAGCCGGGTGACCGGGGCCAATGCTAGCCGGGTGACCGGGGCCAATGCTGGCCAGGTGACTTTACTTCCCTCTGTCTATTCCTTTATTTATAAAATCAAGATAAGGGCACCTACCTCACAAGGTCCATATGAAGGTTGAGTTTACTGTGGAGAGATTTGAGAAGAGCGCTTGGCAGTTAGTAAGAATCCAATAAATACTAACTTTTTTTTTTTTTGAGACAGAGTTTCGCTCTTGTTACCCAGGCTGGAGTATGCAATCGCGTGATCTCGGCTCACCGCAACCTCCGCCTCCTGGGTTCAGGCAATTCTCCTGCCTCAGCCTCCTGAGTAGCTGGGATTCCAGGCACGTGCCACCATGCCCAGCTAACTTTTGTATTTTTAGTAGAGAAGGGTTTCACCATGTTGACCTGGATGGTCTCGATCTCTTGACCTCGTGATCCACCCGCCTCGGCCTCCCAAAAGTGCTGGGATTACAGGCTTGAGCCACCGCGCCCGGCACTGTTGTTATTATCATTGAGAATGGAGGAAAAGTGGCAAGAGTGAGAGTAGACGTCCTTGAAAATATGTGTCGGCAAAAACCTTGCACTCTACCCTGCACTCTCCAATGCTTGTTGAGGAAGATTAAACAGACATACACAGACTTTGAGCAGGTCTCTTCTTTCGAGTTGATTTGGGAGTTTGTGATGCATGTTTCAGTTGCATTTGTAATTTCTGTCCCTGTAGCCAATTTATCTCTTGAACTGAAGAGTGGCTTTTAGAGGTCATCGCTCCCACGTGAGTTTTTTATAGTTGTTCTGATTTTTTTTTTTTTTTTACACTGTGGAGCCAATAAGTTTGCGAAGAGTTTTTAAAAATAAAAAAGGCTGCTAACACATCCCTCTTAGCAAGGCAGGGCATTCACAGGAGTGAAGTCAGACATGGATTTTTAGAGCAGATAGGTCACAGAAAGTATGTATAGGTTACCCAGTCAGCAGACAGGTAAATGGCCTTTTTAAGATAAAGTAAAGTATTTTATTGAAGCAGGGAGAGTTTGGAAGCAGGTAACCTGCTTTCGATTCATGGGTTGTACCTTTCTAAGCTGGAGTGGGTAGGAAAGTCATTCAAACTTTCTGGCCTCAGTTTCATTATCTGCATTATGGAAATGATGCCTCTGCTCAGGATTAAATGGGAGTGTACATGAAAGTGCTTGAAAATGGAAAGAAGGAAGAAAGAAAGGAAGAGAGAGAGGGGAGAGAGGGAAGGAAGGAAGGGAAGGAAGGGAGGGAGGGAGGTGAAAGAATGGATATAAATGTTTTTATATCCTATCCAAAGAAGGAAGGAAGGAAAGGGAGGATGAAGCTCAAATATATTCCAAGTAAATAGCCAGAGATCTATGCTGGACATTTTTTTTTTTTTTTTTTTTTTAGAGGGGGGAGACAGGGTCTTGCTCTCTGTCACCCAGACTAGAGTGCAGCGGCGCAATCTTAGCCCACTGCAACCTCCGCCTCCCAGGCTTAAGTGATCCTCCCACCCCAGCCTTCTGGATAGCTGGGACTATAGGTATATGCCACCGTACCTGGCTAATTTTTGTATTTTCTTTGTAGAGACACGGTTTCACCATGTTGCCCACCAGGCTGGTCTAGAACACCTCAGATCAAGCAATCCACCCACCTCAGCCTCCCAAAGTGCTGGGATTACAGGTTCAGCCTTTCAAATTTGTTCTTAAGAGCAAGAGTGCACTTGGAGAGTGTTCTGTTATAGTATTGACTTCAGGAGTTTTAAGTCCACCAACTTTTTGAACTAAGTGCAGTTAGTGCTTTGACTATGTTGAGCTGATGGCTTTCTTATGTGATTACATGAATGCCATATTAACTCATTGTACACTTTCACCTTTAGAATAGTTGACTTGTATTTTCAATACCTGACTACGAGTTACTGTGACTCAGAACACTTAGAGAAGTTGACTAACAAGAGAAAATTTATGAGTAATAGTGAGTAATTTATGAGTGAGAATATGGCAGATTTCCATGCATCACTTTTATCGAAAGTTGAGTCACTCTTTGTTATGAAAATAATTTACAGGGCAATGTTCCATTTGAGAAAAAAATGAAAATTAATGGTAATTGTCAAAATGATGAATATGGTTTAGCTTCAGTGAAAAAAGCAAGTTTCACAGGAAACATACTCCCTACATCAGCTTATTTATTGTCATAACTCAGGTTCTTTTGGTAAAACAGCAAGAAGTTTGGCTGAATTAGCTATCATTCTGCACTAGTTATTTTCTGTTTTCCTAGATCCACTTTCAGCCATAATATCTGCTGCTTGGAGACTTGGGAGGCTTTGGCAGGAGTTCAGAGGGCAGGATGAGGCTGGGTCAGGGCATTTCTCTACCCTTTCAAGGTGACACCATGGTTCTGGCACTAGCACACCACCAGGTGACACCATGGTTTTGGCACTAGCACACCACCGTTCCTCTTGGCTCCAAATAGCACAGGGCTCTGGGAGGGAACGACTTCCTACTGTTGCTTCTTCTGATGCCCAATTTTCCTTCTTGCTTTGCTTCACTCTGCCCTCATCTATGTACATTTAATAGATTTTTGTCAAAATTCCATCTGGGAAAGATTTGTTTTCTGCTGGGATGCGGCCAGATAATATTCTCCAGTAAGTATAGTCGAAACTCCTCTAGGGCATGGTTACCACAATAAACCAGATCTAAAGCTACCGGATACGCGTGCTGTTTTTTCCAGATGGTTTTCACACTTTCTTTTTCTTTCTTTCTTTTCTTTCTTCCTTCCTTCCTTCCTTCCTTCCTTTCTTTCTCTCTCTCTCTCTTTCTCTTTCTTTCTTTCTCTTTCTTTCTTTCTCTCTTTTTCTTTCTTTCCTTTCTCCCTTTCTCTTTCTGTCTCTCCTGTCTTCTCTTTCCCTCCCTCCCTTCCTTCCTTCCTGCCTGCCGTCCTGCCTTCCTTCCTGCCTGCCTTCCTTCTTTCTGACAGAATCTTGCTCTGTCACCCAGGCTGGAGTGCAGTGGTGCGATCATGGCTCACTGCAACTTCGACCTTCTGGGATCAAGCAATCCTCCTGTCTCAGCCTCCAAATACCTGGGACTACAGGTGTATGTCATCACATCCAGATATATTTTTTTTAATTTTTGTGTAAAGACAAGATCTCACTATGTTGCCAAGACTGGTTTTGAAATCCTGGACTTAAGTGATCATCTTACCTTGGCTTCTCAAAGTGTGGGATGAGAGGAATGAGCCATCATGCTTGGCCCCTTTCAGATATCTTTATCACCATGTCCACTTTATTAAAATTTTGCAAAAATAAGCTGAAATATTACTTGGAGTGTGGGGCTCAATTATATTTCCCCAAATTCCCCTCAGTGTGTATTTCTGATTAGGAAGGGTCACAGAGGAGATTCTTATGTGAGATTAGAAGGAAATGAAGCAGGAGACATTTCTGTAGCTTATGCACATTGTCATTTTTTTTGGATCTCCTTGTTGGTGTAACACAGCACCCAGGCCTTCAATTGCTCCACCTTCCCCAGATCCTCCTTCACCTTTTCTGACTGCTGGCCCAGGCATGTGTTTAGCTCCTTAACAAAGGATCTCAGATTCTGCAGGACACCCACACCAAGACCAAGGCAGTGCGAGCTGCCATGGTCCCAGTTTGCCCTGTGAGCTCTGGCTTTTTCTTGCTCCCTCATCCTCTTGGCATCCATCTTTCTTCCCTGCATCAGTGACAGCCCTCCCCACAGTGCCAGCATCAGCCAGAAGGACAGACACCAACCTTGCAGAGTGTGCTTAACCAGCTCTGACTGTGGAGGGTCAGAACTGAAATATTGATTGTTTCTTTTTTACCTTCCCTTTGACAGTTTAAAGATGCCACTTCATTGCATTCTGGCTTGAATATGACAATCTCATCCTTATATGTATTAAGCTCCTTTTTTTGACGTTTATGTTAGGCAAAAGATATGAACACATATTTCACCAAAATGGAAAGAGGGATGGCATACAAGCACATGAAGATGTTCAACACTATTAGTCATTAAGGAAATACAAATTAAAACCACAATCAGATATCACTACTCTCCTATTAGAACAACTAAAATTAAAAATAACATTAATAGAAAAGGTCACATATTATAATTCCATTTACATGAAATGTCCAGAATAGGCAAATCTATAGAGACAGAGAGTCTGTTGGTGGTTGCTAGGGGATGAGAGGAGGGACAGGCAATGGGGGATATGGATAATGGTTTGGTTTGTGGGATGATTAAAGTATTCTGGAATTAGATAGTGGTCATGGACACACAGCTTTTCATACTAAAAACAGCTGAATTATACACTTTAAAATGGTCTATTTTATGGTGTGTGAATTTTATCATAATGTTTTAAAGTAGTAATAATATTAAATGCTGCCAAGAATACAGAGAAACAGTATCTCTCATACATTGCTGGGACAAATGTAAAATGGCATAGCTACCCTGGAAAATAATTTGGCAATTTCTTATAAAGAAAAGCATGCACTTACTATATCACCTGGCAGTTGCACTCTTAGGAATTTATCCCAGAGAAATGAAAACTTACACCAAAATCCATACACCAATCTTCATAGCCATTTTATCCATAATAGCAAAATATTGCAAACAACCCAAATGTTCTTCAGTTGGTGTAATGGTTGAATGAACTGCCAAATCCATACAACAGAAAGCTACTTACTAATGCAAAAAAACATGAACTTTTTTTGGGGGGGGTCTTTTTGAGATAGGGTCTCACTTTGTGGCCCAGGCTGGAGTGCAGTGGCAAAAACTCAGCTCACTGCAACCTCTGACTCCTGGATTCAAGTGGTTTTTCTGCCTCAGCCTCACAAGTAGCTGGGACCACAGGTGCAAACCACCACACCGGCTAATTACTTGTATTTTTAGTTGCCTAGGCTGGTCTCAAACTCCTGGTCTCAGGTGATCTGCCTGCCTCAGCCTCTCAAAATGCTGGGATTCCAGGCCTGAAACACCACGCCTAGCCAAAAAAACATAAACAACTGATGCATGCAACAACCTAGATGGACTTCAAGCCCCAACATGCTCAGTGGAAAATGTCACTCTCAAAAAATTATGTACAGTAATGATTCCATTTATAAAGCATTCTTGAAATGGCAAAAGGATTGAGATGGAGACAGTTTAGTGGTTGCCAGGACACAGAGAAGTTGGGGGAGAGGTGGAAGAAGGTGAGGGCCAGGTGCAAATATGAAGAGGTATGTAATAATATCATTCTGTTTCTTGATTGTGGTGGTGGTTACATGAATCTAAATATTTGAATAAAATTTCATAGAACTATTCACACATCCATAATAGTGAAGGAGTGCTTTTATTAATGGTGAAAAATCAAATAGGTGTAGTTTATTTAACAGTAATTTGCTAATATCAATTTTTATATTTTTGTATCAACTTTTGATATTGTACAGTTACATAAGATGTCACCATGGCAGGGAAGGGTACACAGGACTCTGTGCAATATCCCGTGAGTCTATAATTATTCCAAAATAAATAAAGTCAGTCATGGTGACTCATGCATGTAATCTCACACTTTGGGAGGCTAAGGTGGGAGGACTGCTTGAGGCTGGGAGTTCAAGACCAGCCTGGGTAGCATAGTAAGACCCTATTTATATATATATAATTAGCTGTGCATGATGGCCCACACCAGCAGTCATACCTACTTGGGAGGCTGTGGCAGGGAGGGTGGAGGACTGCTTGAGCCCAGGAGCTCAAGGTTACAGTGAGCTATAATTTGAACTACTGCACTCCAGCCTGGGTGACACAGTGAGACCTTGCCTAAAAAAAAAAAAAAAAAAAAAAAAAAAAAATTTAAAAAGCTCCACACAATTGCAAGGTTATACTCCCACGGAATAATTTGAGTTTATAAAATCCCAATAGATACACCCATATGTGAAATTAGTTTAAAATAAATGATTAATATGGTATTCCAAACCAGAGAGGGAAATAAGTACTATTATTTCTTCAGTAAATGGTATTAGAACAACTGGCTAATCTATGGAAAAAGAAAATAAAGCTGGGTTATTTTTCATTTCCTTCATCAAAATAAGTGGTAGGATGTAAATTTCAGAATTGGTATTGGGTAAATATCTGTTGAGTTAGATCGTGATTTAAATATATAAAAGACATAAAGTTTATTTGTTGTTGTTGAGAATTATGGCTAATTCTAAAGACAGTGAGTGTTAACTACTCCTTTTGGAAGCTTCCAGCTCTACGGTAACCACCTTCCCAATGGGCACCTGAGAAGTGCCAAGGCAGAAACAACACTATCAACAATGACATTCCCCTTGCCTATGTAGAATAGCCAGGAGAGAATGTGGCTTCTGAGGGAAGTCCAGAGTTCTTGGAGAGAAGTTACCACCCTCATAGAGATGCTTAGAGGAGTCAGTGAGACCGTGCATATAAAGGGCTTACTGATCTGCCCAGTGCACAGTAAGTGCTCCATGATGGTTAGTTCTTGGAGTGCTTTATCCGCCCAAGGAGTTTAACTAGGAAAAACACCATCAGATTTATATATGTGTTTGAGAGAGCATTGATAGCATGAACAAATATGAGTGGACAAACATTTGTAGGAAAATAAAACTCTGTGAGAATGCTGAAGATGATTTCAGGACTCAGTAGGTCTTGAAGGTGAGATCTTTCTAATCAGAAGGAATAGTAAGAGCAAAAATGTGGGAGTTGTGAAAGGGCTGTGGGCATCTTGACAGAATGACAGCCCATTCCCACTGCTTTATTTCAGTCCAGGTCCCCTCTCAAACCAGCTAGCTGCAGTGGCCTCCTAAGGTGTGTCGTTGCCTGAAGCATTGCATCTCTCCAGTTCTTTCAAGACATGGTGAGCAGAGAATCTCTTGCAATAGATAATATTCATAATTTCATTCCCCTGCTTAAAGCTTTCTGAGGTTCTTTATAGCTTATGGATAGATCATGTAAAAATTAGGATTAGGATCAGCTAAAAATGGCAGAAAGAGCCCATAACAATGGCTTATACAAGACAGAAGTTTATTTCTCTCAGGTATAGTTACAGAGGGAATCAGTCCAGGTGCTGTATGGTAAACCAAGGTGTCATGGAGTCAGTGTCCTTCTCGCTTGTGCTTGGCTTCCATCTTGAACTTGCCTCATGGCCCAAATGGATGCTCCAGACCTAGTCACTATGTCCATCCTCCAACCATCAGAAAGGAGAAAAGATAAAGAAAAGTCGATCTCTTTCTTTAAGGTCATTCCACAGAAGTTGCACAGACTGCTGCCATTTATGTCTGCTAACCAGACCTTCGACACATGACCCCATCTAACTGCAAGGGAGGCAGGGATTAATCTTTCTTCTGAATGGAGATGAACCTATTGAAAGCTGAGGGGGTTATAAGTAAAACAAGAAGCAACAAACAGACATTGGGAGACAACACCATATCTCTGCCAAAAGTGCCCATTTCTTCAAGCCCTTTGAAATGTGACCTCATCTCCCACCTAGACTATTTCCACAGCCACTGAACTAGTCTAACTGCCTCTACTTTCTAACTCTCCTTAGTCACTATCATCAGTCATCAATTCAAAATACATACTGGATTGAATTACTCTCCTGTCCCACACTCTTTGGCTTAATGGAACATTCAGAGTCCCTGTAGTACCATTTCAGCTGGATCTCCTTCTTCCTTCCTTCTCTTCTTTCCTCCTCTCCTCTGCTGGCTGTTCTCTGAACACACCATGAGCTTTCAGTTCTCCATGACCTGTTTGGTGAAAGACCCTTTTCCAGAATAATCATCCTATAGGCCCATCACCAACTTCTGAAATGCTGCACAGACTTCTAAGCTTACCCCAAATATAATTTCTTTTATAAATTCCCTTCCCATCACACATGTTAAAAGTAATCCACCCCTTCACTGAATAGTCAGTTTTTATGCTGCCTTCCATTGTAATAAATTATACATTTTTAATATTTATTTCCACAATTACATTGTAATTTACGTAGTATTCACTACATCTTCTTCACATTTGTGGTCCTGGGAACACCTAGTCACTGAATTTTAATTTTTACCGAGCAGCTGCCTAATACATATTTATTAAATTGAATTTTTATGTAAGCCTTGACTTTATAGAAGGAAAGGAAAAAAACCTCAAGTCAGCTCTCTTTGGGTAAAGCATTCATTTAAACCGGATTAAATGCTTTATCAACAATCTAGTATTATTTTTTACACAATTCTCCCTAAGTCCCATTTGTAATTGTTTTGAGTTATTTGTGTTAATAATACAAAGCTTACTATGGATTTGCATCAGGAAGAACAATTTGTAAGAGCTGACTATTTTCAGCTCTAAGAAGGAAGTGACAATTTTTCAATATTTTAGCAGAAGTGTTAAAACTTATCTCAGTCAAACACTTGCTGGGTCATTTGCTATGTCACTCATGTTATTTAACTTTCTATTTTAACCTCTCAGGCCTATATGGAAATAAGAAAAAATATATAGTTTTAGTTGCTGCTAACTTTCTGGCAGAAAATAGAAATGAATATAGTCTCAACGCTGAATAGTTAATGTGTTAAATATGACCACAGGCCTTTTCTGTGTTAATTTTTGTCCATGTTGGCTACTTTTACTAGCTGTTTATTGGGTTCAGACAGGAAAAATATGGCTATAGTATTTGAAATGAACTAAAAGCTCTCAACTAACATTAATAAATTGTCTGAAAATGAACCTCACATTGGCCTTATATAGACATCTCTTCCTGAAAAACAGGACTTCATGCTAGCTCTTTTGTAAATTTAAGCTATTTGTTCCTGGTCTGTTCCTCTTCTGTGCACTCTCTGACCTCCTCTTGTGTTAACAATTCTTTTTTCTGAGCTGATTATAATAATCTCATGCACTTTGTATTAACCCCAATCATATGGGAAGAATTGAAACACCAATCAGAGCTCAGGATCACACATCACTCCAGCTGAATCCTGACCCGGAAGAAAGTTGAGTGAAATATATGGGTGAAATGAAAATAAACTATCAAGTCATTATTTTTAGTTCTAGCTGGGATGAACTTTAGAAGACATTAAGAGCAATGGTCCATATTAAATCAAGTGAAGGTGTCAGAGTTGCTAGGCAGACTGGAGGAAGGGACTGAAAGGCCCAGCAAAGTGTACATGCTAAATGGGGTCTACTATGTGAAACTGGAAACTTATCAACTAAATAGGATTCTCAAAAGAGCATGGAGGACTCTATATGTTAAGGCAATAAGGAAATTGCTGATAGAGGCCAACAGTGTCATTCAGGTGTGGTGGCTATCCTCTGTAGACCAGAGTTGATGATAAGAGATGCTATTTCAGAACTAGGGTTCCTAGTAGTCATGGGGATGATAGGATCCCAGAGGTCACACAGTAGCATGTTACCACCATCAGTGAACCAGCAAAAACACCCTCAGATTCCTGACCATCAGAAACTCTGTGGAATAATTTAAAAGTCCTAGCCAGAGAAATTAGGCAAGAGAAAGAAATAAAAGGCATCCAAATCATAAAATTGTCTATAACTTTTTGTTAACTATAAGTTAACTATTAAATTTAACTATATGTTAAATTTTAAAACCCTAAAAACACCAAGTAAAAGATGTTAAAACTAAAAAAAATTTTCAGTAAATTGCAGTATACAAAATCAACATACAAAAATTAGTAGTGTTTCTATACATTAATAATGAGATATCTAAAAAAGAAATTAAGAATACAATTCCATCTACAATAGCATCAAAAAATAAAATAGTAAATTTAGTCAAGAAGGTGAAAAATCCATACACTGAAAACTATTAAACATGATGAAAAAAATTGAAGGAGACACAAGTTAATGGAAAGATATGTCATGTTTCTGGATTAATATAGTTAAAATATTCATACTACCCAAAGTGAATTACAAATTCAGTGAAATTCCTATCAAAATTCCAATGACATTTTTAAGAGAAATAGAAAAAACATTCCTAAAATTCATATGGAACCACAAAAGACTCCAAATAGCCAAAGCAATCTTGAGCAAAAAGAACAAAGCTGGAAGCATCATACTACCTGATTTCAAGATATACTACAAAGCTGTAATAATCAAAACATCATGATACTGGCATTAAAACAGACACTTAGATCAATGGAACAGAATGGAGAGCCAAGAAATAGATTCACACATTTACTGTCAATTGATTTTGGACAAAGATGCCAAGCCAAGAACACACAATGAGGAATGAATTATCTCGTCAGTAAATGGTGTTGGGAAATCTGGATGCCTACATGCACAAGAATTAAATTAAATCCTTATCTCACACCATATACAAAATATCAACTCAAAGTGGACTAAAGACTTAAACCTATGGCCTGAAACTGTAAAACTACTGGATGATACCAGGAGAGAAAAGCTTCACGACATTGGTCTGGGCAATAATCTTTTGGCTACAACCTCCAAAGCAAGGGGAACAAAAGCAAAAACAGATCAATGAGAATACTTCATACTGGAAAGCTTCTGCACAGCAAAGAAAAGATCAACAGTGTGGAGAGACAACCTACAGAATGGAAGAAAATATCTGCACACCATACATTTGACAAGGGGTTAATATGCAAAACATATAAGGAACTCAAACAATAGATGCTAAAAAACACCTCAAACAACTCAATATTAAAAAAACACAAATAATACAATTTAAAACTAAACGACCTGAACAGTCATTTGTCATTAAAAAAGTCATACACATGCCAACAGATACATTAAAAAATACTCAATATCACGAATCCACTAACCATCAGCACATTGAACTCAAAATAAGAGATCACCTCACATTTAGGATGGCTCTTATCAAAAAGATAAAAGATAAGTTGGTGAGGATGTGGAGAAAAGGGATCCCCCATATATTGTGGGAATGTAAATTATGAACAGCCATTATGAACATATTTAATTCTCAAAAAATTAAAAATAGAGCTACCATATGAGCCTGCAATCCCTGAAATTTTGTATTGAAATACTCACATTTCTTAGAATGGCAGTTATCAAAAAGATGAAAGATTTATATCCAAAGGCAATGAAATCAGTATGTCGAGGAGCTAATCTGCACTCCCATGTTGACTGCAGGATTAATAACAATAACCAAGACATGCAATCCACCTAAGTGTCTACCAAAAATGAACAGATAAATAAAATGTGGTGTATTGGTACACACAATGGAATACTATTCTACCATTAAAAAAGAATAAAATCCTGTCATTTGGCACAACATGGATAAACCCAGAGGATTATGTTAGGTGAAATAAACCAAGGACAGATAGACAAATAGTGCCTGACCTCACTCATATGTGAAATCTAAAGAAGTTATCTCATAGAAGTTGAACAACAGTTCCCATAGGCTGGGAGAGTAGTGAGGAGGACTGGGGATGGGGAGAGGTTAGTCAACAGGTATAATGTTACAGCTAGATAGGAGGAATAGGTTCTGGTGTTCTACTGCACAACAGAGTGATTATAGTTAACAATAATATATATTGCATATTTCAAAATAGCTAAAAGAGAGGATTGTGAATCTTCTCACAACAAAAGAAAGATAGATAAGATAGCTACTTAACCTGATTTGATGATTTCACAATGTATACATGTATCAAAACATCTTGTTATACTCCATAAATAATATGTATGATTGTGTGTCAATTGAAAATGAAATAAAACTTTAAAAAAGAAAATATGGTGTATATATACACCTGCACACACACACACAAACTGGAATATTATTCAGCCTTAAAAAAGAAGAAAATTTGCCACAACATGGATGAACCTGGAAGTCATTATGTTAAGTGAAATAAGCCAGAAACAAAGAAACACGAATACCACACAATCATACCTGTACGTGGAATTTTTGAAAGCTGAACTCGCAGAAGCAGAGAGTAGAATGGTGATTATCAGGAACTAGCATGGAGAGAGCAGAGGAATGAGGAGATGTTGAACAAAGAATACAAAATTTCAGCCAGTCAGGAAGAGTAAGTTCAAGAGATCTATTGTACAGTAAGATAACGATAGTTAATAACAACGTATTATATATTTGAAAATTGCTAACAGAGTAGATGTTAAGTGTTACCACCACAAATAAATTATATGTGAGGCAATACATTTAATAATTAGCTTGACTTAGACATTTTATAATGCACTCATATTTCAAAACATCATGTTGTATACCATAAATGTATACAATTTTAATTTGCCAATTTAAAAATAAAAAAAGAAGCAAGCTCATTTTGATCATCTCCAAAGGATGACTTATGCCCCAGTAAGTCCCCAGCCACAGAAGCAATCATTGTTCTGATTTATTTCACGAGTGATTAGTTTTTCATAATCTAAAAATTCATATAAATTGAATAGTTCATTTTTAAAAATGGAATAGAATGTTCTAAGGGGTTAGATAGATGTGTAGCCTCAAGAATACTGCTCAATATATATAAAATCAAAAGAAAACCAAGAGTAGATGAGCTGAAGACTATGGTCAGCTACTCCAGTAGAAAGTCAGGATTCCTTGCCCAGTTTCCAAACCTAAGGTAGTTTTCAAACTCTCTACAGAACACTTCCCCTTGACTGAAAGAGAGGCAAGGTCCACATGAAGAAGGACCCCACAATGCCAGAACAAATGTATACAGTAGTGATTCCTCTAGTTATTCCCTAAAATGTCTATGGCTATACGTTAGGGTCCCATGCTCTGGAAATGGGAATACATAGCTCTTATGAGGACTGTTAGATAGAGGGTCTGAATTGATGCTGATACCCAAAGAACAAAAGCATATTCATGGGCTTCTTGGTAGAGCAAAAGTATATGAGGGTTCAAGTCATTAAAGGAGTCCTAGCTGCACATATGTGTCCTCTCCTCTACAGATTCACACAGAGATCATTTTCCCAGTTTCTGAATATATAATTGGAACAGACATATGAGGATTTTACAGAACCTTCACATTAATTCATTGACTTATAGAGTAAGAGCTATATGGCAAGTAGAAGCCCCTGAAACTACATTCTCAGTCCACCACCAAGGCTATAAATCAGAAGCAATATAACATCCCAGGAGTGACATGGCAGAGTTTATCATCACCCTCAGAAATTTAAAGGATATAGGGCTGGTGGATTTCATTCTAATCCCATATAATTGACCATGCTGGCCCCTAGAAAATCAGGTGAATCAGAGTGTATGACATTGAACTACTACAAACATAACCAAGTAGAAACCTAATTACATCTGCTGTATTCGATGTGGCATCTTTACTATAGCAGATTAACATTGCCTTTGGTGTGGTTAGTGGCTATTGATCTGCTTCCATTTTACTGTATCAATCAGAAAGATGAGAAACACACATGGTGGAGATAACAGTATACACTCATGGTCTTGTCCAAGCACTATGTCAATTCTCTAGATCTTTGCCATGATAGTGCAAAGGATTCTGGGCCATCTGAACATCCCACAGAACCTTACTTGTGGTCCCTAAGGGGATGACATCGTGTTATTTGGACCTTAGGAGCAAGAAATGGCAATTATTCTGGACATCCTGTTAAGACATGTAATCTAAATGAAGGAAGACAAACACTACAAAGATTCAGCAGCCACACACTTCAATAATGTTTTTAGGCACCAACACTTTGGAATATGCTGAGACATCCCTTCCAAGGTAAAGGGCAAGTTACTATACTTCACACCTTCCTTTATAGGCCATTTTGGAGGCAAAATATATAATTCACTTGGGAATGCTGCTTCAACAAACTGTTGGAATAATTCGGAAAACTGCTAATTATGACTTGGGCCAAGAGAAAAAAGAACTCTGAAGCAGGTTCCTGCTGTGTTCCAAGCAGCTCTGAAGCTTGGGTCCTACAGTATAAACTCCCTCTCACCATGGCTGATCTACCTGCTGTTGCTGCTAAATGTGTAATCTTCCAGCAATAAAGATCATTCCCGAACTCTTGATATGGTATCACTCCTTTTTCTTCCCCTCAGCCTTACAGAAGTATAAGTGACACATAAAAATGTTATGTATCTAAGGTGTGCATGTGAAGATCTGATGTACATATACATTGTGTAATGATTATCAAAATCAGGCCAATTAATACATCCATCATTTCATGTAGTTACCTTTTTATGGTAGAAAAATGATTAACTAGATCTTAGCAAACTTGAAAGCAAATTTCAAGTATAAAATACAGCATCAGTTATAGTCACCATGCTGTATATCACATCCCTAGAACTTACTCCTCTTATTGGTATTCTTCCTTCAGGTGACCAACCAGCTATGTAGTGGCCTATTGTTTATATCAGTTCCATTCAACTCTGGAAAAGAAAACATTTTATCTTCAATGGGATTAATACATATTCCAGATATGTTTTTACTTTTCATGCCTGTAGTGCCTCAGCTGTCAACACCGTGTGCAAGCTTATAATGTGTACAACAGACAGACCTGGGATGGCACCTAATATTATGTTTGAACCACAGGACCACTTTCATAGCAACGAAGGTATGGCATTGAGCTTGTAGTTATGGATTATGTGCCATCTGGAAACTGCCCTTGTGAAAGAGTAGTGAAAGCGTCTCTTAAAGGTTCAGCTAAAGTGCCAGCTCGGAGAAGGCACCCTGCAAAAGATAGGGCGCTATCCTCAGGTTAAAGAATAGACCACAAGGCATCTGCCACTGTGTATAGTGCTGTATTCCCAGTATATAGAATACGTGGATCTGGGAACTAAGTGGAAGTTGGAATGTCCCACCACCACTCCCAGTGACCCATCTGGGAAATTATGTCTAAAGATCCTGATTCCCAGAGGGGTGATGCTTCCTCCAAGCAGCACAGTAAAATAATCACAAATTGTTTTCCAAAGTGACTGTCCAGGTCAGGTGCAGTGGCTTACATCTGTAATCCCAGCACTTTCGGAGGCTGAAGGAGGCAGACTGCTTGAGTCCAGGAATTCAAGACCAACTTGGCAAACACTGTGAAACCCCGTCCCTACTAAAAATACAAAAATTAGCCAGGCATGGTGGCATGCTCCTGTAGTCCCAGCTACTTGGGAGACTTAGGTGGGAGAATTGCTTGAACCTGGGAGGCAGAGGGAGCAGGTGAGCTGAGATTGTGCCACTGCACTCCAGCCTGGGCGATGAGTGAGATCCTGTCTCAAAAAACAAAACAAAACAACAAAAACAAGCTGACTGTATAAATCACAGTAAATTCCCGCCAAAAATTAGATCTCTTCATCAATACTTGATATTATAAAACTTTAAAAAGTTTGCTAATGTAGTAGGTACTCTGTGACATCTTATTATTTTAATTAGCATTTCTCTCTATATTAATTATGTGAAGAACACTTTTCCATGCGTAGTAACCATTCGGATTTTCTGTATTGCGAAATACATAATCAAGTCATTTGTGTATTTTTAATTGGGGTTTCTGCCTTTTTTTTTTTTTACCAAATTTCTTACCAAATTATCAATTTGTTTATATGATTGGAAACAAGTTTTGTTGCTGTTAGTTATATAAGTTGCAAATATCTCCTGTCAGTCTATGGCTTGTATTTTTGTTCTTTTAATGGTATTTTTTTTGTTGTTGAACCGAAGTGTTTTGTTTACATGTAATTCATTGTACTAATCTTTCCTTTTATGGTTAGTGTTTTTTGTGTCTCATTTAAGAAACCCTTCACCAGCCCCCAGGTCATGAAGCTATTCTGCTATATTAATCATTGGATAACTTAACAATTTGTAACATATTAGATCGCATATTCACCTGGAATTGACTTTTGTGTGAATTAGGAGTTCAATTTCATCTTTTTCCAGCATGGTACACAATCGTCCTAGCACCAGTTATTGGAAAGAAATTTTACTCCCACTGCCCTGCAGTGCACCTTTGTTGTATATCAAGCATTCATTTATGTGAGGACCGTTTTATTTTCTTGTTAGTGAAGTATATAAGTACCATTACTTTCTAACATTGAGTTTTGTATCCAGCAAATCCCCTTAAATATTTTAAACTGTATTAATGTGGTTAATATATTCAATTTAATTTTAGCATTTCAAATGCCTGACCAAGAAAGCCCATAATCTTATTTATTTTATTTTTTTATTTTTGAGACAGAGTCTTGCTCTGTTGCCAGGTTGGAGTGCAGTGGCACAATCTCGGCTCACTGCCACCTCCACCTCCTGGGTTCAAGCAATTCTCCTCCCTCAGCCTCCTGAGTAGCTGGGATTACAGGTGCATGTCACCATGCCTGACTAATTTTTGTATTCTTAGTAGAGACAGGGTTTCACCATGTTGTCCAGGATGGTCTTGATCTCTTGACCTTGTGATTCCCCCACCTTGGGCTCCCAAAGTGCTGTGATTACAGGCATGAGCCACTGTACCTGGCCATTATTTTTGAAATCCTCCACAGCACTTCAAAGGCTCTCATAAATCTCAATTTAATTAATAAAATAGATAAATCCATTTCTCTTAATATTATGCCACTTACACATTTGCTCACATTCTTACTTTTTAAAATGTGAAACCATGTCAATTACATGTTTTAAATAAATGGAATCATAGGACATCTGTAAGATAGTCTAATATGGCAAACTCTTTTAAATATTATAAACACCTTAAATAAAAGCATAAAAAGATTATTCCTAAGCCTAACATAAAAGTATTCATACCAGTGGCATGATTTAATTTACCATCTTTGCATTTAATTATAAATCTTCAATTTGAAAATCATTTGCTTAGTAAAGGAAGCAGCTTTAACATCATAAATTAAAAAAGCTTTAATATCACAAGATCAGATGTTCTGTTTCAGAAGAACTGAGGTTAGCACCTGGAGTAAGTCATTGTTAATAAAGATACAACTTATGACCATAAGGTTACTTACCAATATGACATTTGAGGCCGGGATGGCAACATGGGAGAAGTTTAGGTACAAGATCATCTTTTCTGAACCAAAGATGGACACCTGAGTCCTTTTAAAAAACCATCTCTAAGTTACGAGGGAGCTCTAAACCCAAGCTCTTCAGATGGAATTTTCTCTACCTGCTTTTCCGAGTTCACAAGTTGAACACCCCAGCCAGTAGGCATTCCCCGGGCACACTACAGGTCCAGTGCTATGCACAGGAGCAGCAAAGTCAGCCTTTGGGAGGGCAGATCCAGGAAAGAAACCTGCATGAAGCCCTGGATGCGGGCTTGGGACTACTCATACTTGGAATTTGTGTTTCAAAACTTGATCTGTGTGTGTTCAAGCCAGGGGCTGGGGAGTAGGGAGCATGGGGGTGTGGACCTAGGTGGGTGTGTCCCCTTGACCTGTGGACTCTGCAGCTCATGGGAGGGTGAAGCTCGTAGGGGGGGTCAAACCAGGTCCCTCTAACATGAAGGGTGTGGGGAATGCCCCACTCTTGCCTTGGTCTCAGGGCAGACCTGCACTAAAACTAGGGTAAAATTCCATGTGCTTTTCTTACCTTTTTAAGTAAGGTGATTAAGCCAGATAGAAACACCATCTAGCAAATCAAGAAATCCAAAAATAGAGATGAAAGGGTATGATGCCAAAGCAGAATTTCACTATCTTGAGGACCCTGAAGACGGGGCTTTGGCTGAAAGTACTTTTATGTTTCCAACAGAATAAATCAGTTCCTCAGACAAATAAAGTGGCTAACTTACTGACACATTATTTAGGCAATCCTCAGCGGCCGTAATGCCAAAATGTCTTTATAAGAGAGACTTAGCAGAAAACATCCACTTAGAATTAGGGAGACTTGAAACTTCTTTGCACAGTGGCTTACATAAGCTGGAGAAAATGTCAAAAAGAATGGGCGGGGAAATGGCACCATAGGCACTGACAAAGATTCCTTCTTTTTTTTTTTTTTTTTTCTGAGATGGAGTTTTGTTCTTGTTGCCCAGGCTGGAGTGCAATGGCGCGATCTCGGCTCACTGCAACCTCTGCCTCCCAGGTTCAAACAATTCTCTTGCCTCAGCCTCTTGAGTAGCTGTGAGGATTACAGGCGTGTGCCACCATGCCCAGATAATTTGTTTTTGTATTTTTAGTAGAGACAGCATTTCCCCATGTTGGCCAGGCTGGTCTCAAACTCCTGACATCAGGTGATTCACCGTCCTGGGCCTCCCAAGCTGGGATTACAGGCTTGAGCCACTGTGCCCAGTCAACAGAGATTCTTTAATCAGGTTTCTGAACTTTCTCCTAGGCCCATCTGTGTACTTCCTTGTAAAATCCAGTTTTAGCAAAAGAACTTTGCTAAGTCAGTTTCACCAGAACACCCTATCTTCAATAATCTGATCATCCTTGATATCTGATCAGGTTCTTTGTCTTCCACTCTCCCCCCGGGGTGATGTCTGAACAAGCTAGCCTGTCTTCAGCAAGAATCCTGCTGGATTGATTTAGCCAGAATTCCCTTTACCCTTGATATTTCCTCCTAGCAATTTTCCATCCACTGACCCCCACCCTGCTCCTTCGTTATAAATTCCCACTTGCCCAGGCTGTACTGGAAGTTAAGTCCAATTTCTCTCCCCTACTGCAAGACAGCATTGCAGTCATCCCTATACCTATCTTGATGGTTCTGAATAAATTCTTCTTTACTGTGCTTCAAAAAAATCATTGAATAATTTTTCTTTAATAGTAGTAAGTTGGCCGGGCATGGTGGCTCACACCTGTAATCCCAGCACTTTGGGAGGCCAAGGCGGGTGGATCATGAGGTCAGGAGTTCAAGACCAGCTTGGCCAATATGGTGAAACCCTGTCTTTACTAAAAATACAAAAATTAGCCAGGTGTGATGGCAGGCACCTGTAGTCCCAGGTACTTGGGAGGTTGAGGCAAGAGAATTGCTTGAACCTGGGAGACAGAGGTTGCAGTGAGCCAAGATTGCTCCATTGCACTCCAGCCTGGGTTACAGAGCAAGACTCCACCTCAAAAAAAAAAAAAAAAAGTAGTCAGCTATGGCTGTGAGTGCCAATCTGCTCCGCCCTCAAATTTCTTTTTGGTCTTAAGCTACCACAAACAAATGAACAGCAGCAATAAAAAGATTAGACTTTTTCTGCACCATGGTCTTTTCAGGTCACTGAAGGCAGTATATTTAAACACAGATCCCTAGGGGCTTCTAAGTTAGGAAACATTCATAGGTGAATGTGAAGAAAATATAATACAAATAAATAACATTGCAAAAGTTTACATGGAAATTTTAAAATATGATTCTGCCTTATGAAATTGAGTGCAACTTGTAAAAAATGAAAGAAACCATACATTAACAAGGATACACCTATTATCACTTCTATACATATACTTG